AGTGTATATAGTTGGCCCTTGCCGGGCCGTGTGTATTCTCTTGTTGTGAAGTACAATAAACGCGTCTAGTTAGCATGTCGTAGTCCGAGTCTTCATGTGCGAACCAGTACTTTACATTTGTCATGAACAAAAAGCTATGGTGTTCCCTCATCAGCCATATAATTATTGCATATCAGGGTCCCATCTGAGCTGAGTCCTACTGTATGGTTTTCTAAATGTATTGTTAATCTAGTCCTAGTCCTACATTCCAATAGTCTGGTTATTTACAGGAGAGCCACTTTTGAGAGGGAAATAAATGGTGGTGGACGAGGCATCCTGTGTTTCCCCCCAGAGTGGCTTTCCACAAATCTTTCTTTCATAGCCACTAGCTACTGTCTTAATTCAAGGATCTTGTGGTGATGGGGTAGGTTAGTTGTTACAGATTCCTGTCATACTATATATATGGAAAATCTTGTTATTCCACATAGAATGTTTTTAATCTATATAATTTTTGAATGTCTTTACCAATATTTCTTGTTCCTCTCTTATAGAAACGTCTTATCACTGAGATCAAGATGGTCTTGAGAGTGCTGTTCCTGTACATTCCTCTTCCAATGTTCTGGGCGCTCTTTGATCAGCAGGTAATTTAGGGAAACTGTCCGCCATTACTGATGGTTGTGCTTGTCCTGTTGGGGATATACTGTTAGATACACATTTTGTTTATGCTGCCATGGGAGGGGGATGTTCTTTCAGTGTCTGTGTAAATTGCTTTCGCATTCCTGTCTCTTGCTTGATGCGGTAACGCTTATCTCTAAAGAAGTGCAGAAGGCGAGGTGTGTTGTCTCCCAACCGTGGGAGCAGAGCAATTCCCAGCTTCGCATAGTAGTAACGCTTACCAGCTCTAGCCCACACGCGGGAGGGTGCCTAATTGGCCAGCGCAGTGGGGGTGGTGCATACGAATGCCCTATATCTCATTAGGTTCAATAGGCAACGGTTATTCTTAACAGTTACTGTGTTAATGCATCTATGGCTCTTCAATAAAAGTATAACCTTTCTATGAAGTGTGTACTCCGTTGTTGGCTGTGGGTTCTGACAGTCTGTGGCTTTCAGAAAAGATACCTATTTTAGGGTTTTAATCATTTAGAGATTTCTTGTATATTTTGTCTTTAAGGGATCCAGATGGACACTGCAAGCCACAACAATGGATGGAGATTTTGTAAGTTATTTCTGCAACTCATGAGTCACAATCCAGCTTTGGTCACACTTCCAAAAATGAGGTCCTTACTACTTGTGCATGTCACTGTGAGCGCAAACCGTCTCTACAGTTCCTAGTGCAGCAAATTATATCCTTCTAGAAACTTGTTCATGTGGCCAAATATGCGTAGATGGATTTTGACAGTGATGTTTAAAGCTTACATTTTTGAGCATCTGTAATATTTTGAAAGTAAGACACATGTGGCCTCTCCCTTTTCTAGGGCGCTGTTCAGATTCAGCCGGACCAGATGCAGGTATGGTAAACTTCTACATTAATGCTATTTTAAGACATGCGTGTTTATTGTTTGAAAGTTCCTAACTTCCTCATTATTTTTTCCTACAGACTGTTAACCCAATCCTCATTGTTATAATGGTTCCAGTTGTAGATGTGTTGATTTATCCTCTCATTGATAAATGTCGCATTAATTTCACGTAAGTGACTTTATGTTTGGAATCAGCTTTTAAGTCATGCTAGTTTTTCTTTCTTTTTGAGGTGCGTAGGAGTGACAATAAACACTGTGGGGAAGGAGGCTCCATATAAATATAATTTTGATTTGTTTTACATTAACTAATATATAAACCCCTCAAAAGAGAAAAACAGAAAAGGAGAATTGGTTTGTATGAAAGAAACAGAGAATGTGTATCTGTCTTTTGATGAGTGGATAGTGGTTTAACCAAGCAGTGATTAGCCCAAAGTAGCGACACTGTAATGAAACTCAGAAATTTTGACTTCCTCAGTTTGAATGAGCCGTTCGCGGGGAGGGCGGGGGAGAATGCAAATAAATAAATAAATAATATCTGGAAGTACATAATAATAATAATAATAATAATAATAATATACTTTATTGTCATTGTACACAGTACAACAAAACTAAAGGTGCAAAGGAGCGGTAGCCTGATTTCTTGAATGATTGAATGCCATTGTAGGAACACAGAGACCCAGTTGCCTTTAATGTTGGGATGAGTCTTGCACATATTGGGAATGAATTAATACCACTGTTCTGATGCTGAAGTAAATGGGATTCTGCTGTTCATGCCAGAACTTTGTAAATCTTTGGCTCAAGCAAAGACGACTATTCAGATGAACTGAAAAATGCAGCCCCAGTTCTGTGGGTCCAGAAAGAAGGTTCCTGTTCTATGTGGCACATATTTAAGGGTGATTTTGTGATAGTGGTATCTGCTGCCCCTTTTTAAGCTATAGCTGACTATGCAAACAAGATGGATGCCTTAAGTGTTTAATCTACCAGTAGGCATTACAGATACATTTAGCTACAAGTCAGTGACCTCTTACAGGCCGAGCAGTTTTTCAGCAAAACAACAATTACAACTAAGACACTTGAACAATATTTGAGTCCAGTGGCACCTTCAAGACTGACAAGTTTAATTCTGGGTATAAGCTTTTGTGTGCATGCACACGAAACCTTGTACCCAGAATTAATCTTGCTGGTCTTAAAAGGTGCCACTGGACTCAAAACTTTGTTCTGTTGTTTTAGACCAACATGGCTACCCACCTGAAACGGAGACACTTGTAAAGCTCATTAACTATGACGTGTCATAAAGCCAAGGGTGATCTTTTTTTTGAGACCTTGAAGCAACAGCAGGTGTAATAACAGCTGGCAGTTCAGGTAAAGCATATTTTTAAATATCCTACTTGTTCGTTCTTCCTGTACCAGGCCTCTGAGGAAGATGACAGTTGGCATGTTTCTGGCTGCTTTGGCGTTCGTTGTTGCTGCTCTGGTGCAAGTGCAGATAGATGTAAGTAAGACTTCAGGTGCCCTGACCTGGATGGCCCAGGCTAGCCCAGTCTCATCAGATCTCAGAAACTAAGCAGGGTCACCCTTGGTTGGTACTTGGATGGGAGACCGCCAAGGACGCTCAGGATTGGTACGCAAAGGCAAGAAGCTGCAAATCATCTCTGGCATCTCTTGTCCTGAAAACCCTATAAGGGTCATCGTAAGTTGGCTTGTGACTTAATGGCACTTTCCACCACCAAAGCTTCACCCGAGGGGTTTTTTCTTGTGTTTGGATGTGATATGGGTTTGGGATTGAAATTCTACTTTAAGTTCCTTTAAAAAAAAATCGATCTAGTTAAGAGACATTGAGGTAATGTCCGTGTTTTGAAGCTGAATAAGTATATGCATTTTACAAACATGAATGTCAAATCCTGCAACTGAAACAGATCATGGAACTAGTTTTGAGTGATACTTCTGTCTCTCCATAATAGACTTGTTTCTGAACTTGAATGATATGGAATAGAAAAGGGAAAACAAGAAATGTGCAGGAAGTGGGGGCTCATTGTGGATCAATAGGAGAAGTAGTTGGAGTAAAGAAAAACAACTTCCATTGCTTGATAGGGGAAGGACATAGCCCATAGGTTCTGTGTGCAATCCCAAACATCTCTGCTAAAAGTCGGGTTGCCATTTCCCTGGTGGGGCCAGGGGTCCCCCTGATTTTGGGGGCCTCAATTTGTTGCAACCCAGCTGGCCAGAAGCTGGCACTGGCACGATGACATCACCCAGGAGTGACATCATCACTTTTCTGACATTGGGGGTGACGCTCTACGTTTTGGGCAAAACTCTATGGTTTTGAGGCCAAAAAAACCCATAGAGTTTTGCACAAAACCTAGAGCGTTGCCCCCAACATCAGAAACACGATGATGTCACTTCTGGGTGATGCCATCATGGTGCTCATGCTTTGCATGCGCATCAGAACTCAAGGAAGGAACAGGAGTCCCCCCCGCTGGCAACCAGGTAAGACCTTGCAACCCTAGCTAAAAGAGTCTTAGGTAGCCAGTAGGCATAATGCTTAGCCAATTCAGAATAACTACTACCCTGTTATTTTTATGGGGATACATAAGCAAGTAAGGGAGGTAGGGAAGATCAGGCAATGTAATGCACATAATTAAAATCATGGCTATTTTTGGGCAGGAACGCACAGGAACGGAGTTCCGGCTGGCTTCCAAGTTGGCTACGCCCAGCAGGAACTCATTAGCATAATAGGCCACACACAACAGCAGAAACTCATTCGGATTGGCTACATTAGGGGTGTGTGGCCTAACATGCAAAGGAGTTCCTGCTACAAAAAAAGGCCCTGGGTTTTGACAACAAACAAGGTAAACAGAATAACAAGCAAAAGGTGGGTGTGGCTGGATGACCACACTTCTGGTAACATGGGTGTGCGTCCTAATGTGCCAATGAGCTGTGCTGTCAGGGGTGTGGCCTAATAGGTAAATGAGTTTCTGCTGTTGGGTGTGGCCTATTATGCTAATGAGTTCCTGCTGGGCTTTTTCTACAAAAAAAAGCCCTGATTAAAATAATGTATATTTCTCTTCCTTTGGTTACAGGGCATAAGTATACTATGCAGTATGCTAAAATGCATTGATGTTAACTTTCCTACATCTGAAAAAACCCTCACATCATGTCATTGCCTTGCTTGAGGGTGTTATGAATAATACAGTTTTTTTAAAGACAGTCTTTGGTAGAGTTTTAAAAATGCTTAGCCGTACTTTGAACAAACAGGTTCTCCATTTGATTTTCAGCCTTTATGCATATTTGGCCTCTTCTAGTTTGGAAAAGGCTGATATTTTTTATTATTATCTTTTTTGCTGTCAAGTTGCGGCTGACTTATGGCAACCCCTAAGGGTTTTCAAGGCAATAGGCATTCAGAGATAGTTTGCCATGGCCTGCCTCTGCATAACAATGGTTTTGATATCTATCCAGAGGTTTTTCCACATTGGTTTGAAAGGCCTTCTGATTCCAGTGACTAATTGTAGCGATGGTACAGAAAACACTGAATCAAGCATCATGCTACTGCACATGAAAATGCAATATCATACAGGAGTAGTTAGGATTTAAAGGTAGTTGTACTGGATTGGCTTTAGAGAAGAAAAAGCAAATGTGATAACAATATGGGTGGTAGATGTTTAGAATAAAGGAAGCAGTGTGGAGATTCCCTTGCTCCGGACTGTAAGTAAGGCAGTGGTGGATTTCTATGACCATCTCTGTATAACATAGACAGGTTACTGTCTACGTTTGGTGTATCCAGTTTGGTGTAGTGGTTAAGAGTGCGGACTCTAATCTGGGAGAACCAGGTTTGATTCCCCACTCCTCCACGTGCAACTGCTGGTGTGACCTTGGGTCAGTCACAGTTTTCTCAGAGCTGTTCTGGAAAGAGCAGTTCTTGAAAGAGCTCTCTCAGCCCCACCTACCTCACAGGGTGTCTGTTGTGGGGAGAGGAAGGGAAGGAGATTGTAAACCACTCTGAGACTCCGAGTGAAGGCGGGGTATAAATCCAATCTCTTCTTGTTATTATTATTTCTCTTTTCAGGAGAATGTTGCTAGATCATGTTTGACATTGACACAGCACCTCTTCGTTTCCCTCTCCTACAGAAAACTCTCCCAACATTTCCTGCACCAGGCGAGTCCCAAATAAGAGTAATAAACTTGGGGAACAGCAATGCAACAATTCATTATAATGATGGAAGATCTGCTGATGTGAATTCTTTGGGATCAGTAAGTTAAGATTTGTAATTTGGACTGTAACTTCAAAACTATACATTTTTTTAAAGTGAAGTACACTTTTTTTCTTTTTCTGTTAATTAGATACCAGTAGGCCTGTATTCGTACCATTTGTATGTAGAGTTTAGTGGTCTTGAACAATGCCACAATTTATTCATAGGTTTTCAATTATTTTAATGTATGGTTTTCTTTTGTGATCAGAGTAAAAAAGGGGGGGGATTAAATGGAAATAATAGAACAGATAAATTGAATTTATTTCTGCTTCTATGCGAGGAAGATCTCTCATCATAGCAACTAGCCTAAAACAATTATCCTTTTTCTTTGTAATTCAGACATTTCCAGACTGCTGCCAAATGTGTCTTAATCTCATTTTTCTTTCTAAGCTTCCGATTTGACCCAATTTCTAGATCCTTAACCCATCCATGTTTCTGTTTGAAGTTGCTCCAAACTGTTGTACTTAAACTGTCACAATGAAAAATTATACAGAATAGCCCAAGCAAAGCATAATTTCTCATGTCTTCGGTTGGCGGCTTCTGTAGTGCTTCCCAAAATAGTGTTTTGAACTCCCCTCATATTCTGTTGATGCCCACTGTCATTCTACGTCTTTTTCAGATGGATTACAGGGAAAATCCTTGCTTTGTATATGTTAAGGAATTAACTGGGAAAGATTTCAGTGTCATTGGAGAAATTATTGGGAAACAAAACGTTTCTTGCAGCCTTCTGAAATTTTTGAGGGAGATACTGTTAGAAACAAGCAGAGATGAACCAAATCATCCAGTTATTTTCATGGCAACAATTCTGGAAGATCAAAGGTCTTTTTGTGCCAACCTCCAAATAGCATAGTTTATTTAATTAGCAGAATTCAAAAGGACTCTAGATAAATCTGTAGATACATGAAAGGACTGTTAGTGTTTAATTGTACATTCTTTTTATTTATAGACGGACTACCTCACTTTTAACACTGAGCACTTAAAGGACATCAACGTAACATATGGCACTAAAACTATAAGCAAGTCATTTGCATTCGTGGGAGAAGAACGTCACACCCTTGAAATAACAGATGTGGTTGAGATCCAGGCTGAACTGGTAAATAATTTCAATGGCTCGTAAGAAGCCAGCCTCTAGCTTCACCATTCTGTTTTGATATGCTCTCTTTGCTTATTATTGACTTACGCATATATAAATGATGTACGTATGTATATATTCATTCTGTGCAGGAATTATTACAGGTGCTACAATGTACACGTGATAGTTTTCCAACTGACAGTGTGATAGAAATCGAAATAGTCTGAATCTTCTGTCTAACCAACTTTTGACCGTAGTTAAGGCAAGCGAAGATAATAATCTGGTGAATAGCTGGTTTCAGATATTGGTCACCAGTGCACATTGTTAGCCTTTATTGTGGCTAACATGGGTACTGATAAACAGCAGTCTTGTGATATCTGAAAAACCGACATTGTTTCTTTAAATTCTAGGGTTATAATTTATTTTAAGAATTTTATTTAACTGTAGTATGCGTATTATTGTATTTTATACTGTTTTTATTGTTATAATCTGGCATTTATGCCTCTGTTAGCCGCCCTGAGCCTTCGGGGAGGGCGGGATACAAATCCAAATAAATAAATAAGTAGGGTAAGCTTTTGTGAACTTATGTCTACATCATCAGATGCAAATAGGGGATCTCTCACAAGGCAGATTTACGTATCTGTGGTTATGAAGAGAGAAAAAATTAAGCTGCCACAATACTCTTGTTCTTTTCTTCAACGTACTAAACCTGGCTTACTCCTCTGGAACTGATAGTGTTGTAACACTTAATTGTGGTTAAGGCACAGGTATGTGTGAGTGGGCGAGAGTTCTCTCTCCCTCTCACTGCCTGCATTCCAAAAGGAAGTCCATAGCCCACATCCAACTGCATAAATATTAATTACTTTGGAACACCGTGGGTGCCCATGTTCCTAAGGCCATAATTAGAACACTGTATACATGCTTTCAGTGAACACTTGAAGCTGCCTTGTACCTATCAGGGCTGGCTTGCCTAGTCTGGCCGGCAGGTAAAGTCTTTCCTATCATCCACCACCTGATCCTTTTAACTGGAGACGCCAGGGATTGAACCCGAGGCCTTATGCGTGCAAAGCGTATTCTCTACCATTAAGCTACAGCACCTACCCAGATCTCCCCTTTGTGTACTCTCCCATTATGTTTTGAATCTGTACATTTCAAATAAGAACTTTTCACTAAATATACATTGAACAGTTTTTGTGCAATGCATTCCTATTCATTAGGCATGCTAATAAAAAATAAATATCATACCACTTTCACAGCATACCAGTGTTCAGCTATCATATATGATATAAAAGATTCTAGATCCTGACATGTGGTCCACTTAATTTCACTGTCTTTTCCCGCCAGCTTGTGGATGGTCTCACAGTAAAACCAGAGCAAGGAAACAATAAAATCAGGTAACTGTATTTTATATATATGTGAAGTACTATTAGGCTGCCAGTTTGGTGTAGTGGTTAGGAGCGCGGACTCAATCTGGGAGAACCGGGTTTGATTCCCCACTCCTCCATATGCAGCTGCTGGTGTGAGCTTGGGTCAGTCATAAGTTCTTTCAGAGCTGTTCTCTCAAGGGCAGTTCTCAGAGGGCTCTCTCAGTCCCACCTGTCTCGCAGGGTGTCTTTTGTGGGGAGGAGAAGGGAAAGGGATTGTAAACCACTCTGAGACTCCTTCAGATAGTGCGGTATAAATCCCATCTCTTCTTCTGCTGCTGCTTTTAAGATTGCCAGGTCCACCCTGGGAACTGGTGGGGAATGGGGGGGTTACTGGGAGAAGGAAGGAGGCCCAGTGGAAATGTAGTGATGTGTCTACATCACTTCCACCGTAACCCAGAAGTGACATCATCATGTCGGCAATGTCGGGGCGACGTTTTGGTATTTGGGCAAAAACTCTGGTAAATTTGGCTTCTACCATAGTGTTCTTGCCCAAATACCGGAGCGTCATCCTGAAGTCACCAATGTGATGTCACTTCTGGGTCATGTCAGAAGTGATGTAGACAAATTGCTGGACCTCCCTCTTTTTTGAGGTAAGCCCCCCCCCGGCCAGCTGATTGGCGGTGGGGCCTGGCAGCTGGAGGTCCCACCTCCAACTGGGAGGTCTGGCAACCAGTGTTCCCTCTAAGCTGAGTTTGTGTGAGCTAGCCCATTGTTTCTTAGCCTCCGGCTCACACATTTTTGTCTTAGCTCGGGAAGGATGGCTCCAGTGCAGGCTAATTTATGCAGCAGCCAAATCGCTGGCTCACAACTTTAATGCCGGTAGCTCGCAAAGCAGAATTTTTGCTCACAAGACTCTACGGCTTAGAGGGAACATTGCTGGCAACCCTAGCTGCTTTTCATCTTTAAAAAGTTTCCAAATACTTGCTTTTACTCAGTGGGAAACTGAGACTGTCACATTATACGGCAGCATGTGACTGAAAACAGTCCAGTGTTGCTGTTTTCCCCCCTAACATCTAGGGATCCTTAATGTGTGCTGTGACACCATCATACTGCAGGTTTCCCTGCCTCTTTTGCTTGTCTTTTGGGGACAGGGAAGCTGATCACAATGCTGTTCATATCTGTCTAGGGCCAGACCTTCTCCCGGACTTACCCAGGCAACAGCAACTGGCTATGACACTTTCCCAACCTTTGGGCTGCCAGCAGCTCCTATGCCCCCCTCCCCAATGGCAGGAGGGCCAGCAAGGCCAGCCCAGCCAATGCATAGCTCTAACACAGCACTGAGCATCCCTTTTAAGGAGCTGCCAAGAGCAGCTGCAGCTGGGCCAGCCCAGCTAGGCTATCAGGCAAATGGGGAGCAGGTGTGGGAGGTTAGGGCAGGCTGTTGGGCATAGGCACAACCAAGCCTGGCCCATATAAGTAGCCAAACAGCAGTCCAGGAAGGGATGCTTCAGGTCTTCTTCAGGCTTTGGAGGGAGACACTTGGGAAGGGAGGAGGAGGAATAAGGTGCAGTTAACCCCCTCCCCTCTCCACAGCTGAGACCTTTGCTGGCCTGCCATGCAGGTGGACAGGGACAGGGCCAAGCAACTGCAGATCCCCTGGATCCCACAGTGCAATATCAGGCATTTTGACAGAGAGAGGAGAGAGATACAGGGCTGAGATTTTGGTATCACCCTTTCATCTGCTGTAATGTTTCATTCCAGCTTAGTGTCTTCCCTCTTGTATATGTTGTGGAATTGTTTTAACAAAATAATGGAATGGCAGACTGCCAACCTAGCAGTTCGAAAGCAAGAAATTGCAAGTAGATAAATTGGTACCGCTTTGGTGGGAAGGTAACAGCGTTCCTTGGGCCTTGGCGTTTAGTCATGCCGGGCGCATGACCACGGAAACGTCTTCGGACAGCGCGGGCTCTTTGGCTTGGAAACGGAGATGAGCACCGCAACCCTAGAGTCGGATTTGACTGGCTTTTGAGCAAGGGAAACCTTTACCTTTACCTTAAACACAGAGAAAGTATGCTAAGCATGCTGTTTTGTGGCTGTACTATTTGTTTTGTTGTGATTTTATGGTGCACACACACACACACACACACACTGAATTTTTTAAAAAAATTCTCTCAGCAATATTAAATGTCAGTACAGAAATCTCAAGACAGCCATGTGAAATAGATATCTCAGTGCCAGTGTAACAGCAAAATCGACTATAAATTTTGACAAAAGAGAAAAGCAACTTTGTAGAATGACGGCTGTTGTACAGTGTATCAAAGAGTCCAAAGCCTATAAAAATCTTGGCAGTGCCACTACCATCTGGGCCTGCCACATGGCTGTATGTCAGTCTTCATATACAAGGAGCAAATTATTAATCTATGTTTATTCAGAGATGATGAGCCTGAGCAAACAGAGTGTAATTTGTGTAATATGAACATTCTAAAGAACCTAAAGGGCATTAAAAGATTTGAAAAATGCACAAATATCTAAAAATTGCAACGAGCATCCCAGCTTGCTACTCACAAATTTTGTACCTTGTCTTGTTTAAGTTTGTGGCTATTTCAGCCATGGATTCAGGCTCCAGACAGAACACAAGGAGAAGGAGAAAGATAGATTCATGATTTTTACAAACCCTCAAAGGAACTTGTCTCCCACTGGCAAAATACATTTGAGTTGTTGGGTTCCTTTTCTTAAATGAAAAGGCTTTTCACAGGATAAGAGAGAGTTAAGGACTAGCCAGTTGGATGTAAGTATCCGAACAGGTTCTGAAACTTGATGCATATGAAGGGTGCTATACACTGAGCCATACTCAGGGCCACTTCGGCTGTATGGACTACTCCAGCAAGAAGGAAAACACTCCACAAAAGCAATTCTAGGCCTTACTTATGGAGGGGGGGGCGGTAAGTTTTGAAAGGCAGTGGAGTTAATGACCTTCACAAAAGAAAATTTTGCAGTCTGTTATCAAATAAGTAATATACGTTTTGGCTTTAGAAATATTGAGCTGGTCTATTCAGTTAACCAAACCTTACAATCCAGCTATTAATGTCAGTCCCAGCAACATCAATGCTTAATCCAAAAGTCTTTCTATACTGAGCATCTGTGTGGACCCTTCATGAACCATAAATTTGTACAGACAGTATCTTTCTCTTGTAACAGCAGCAAAGATGTATGCAATGAGGTCCCTGCCGGGCATAAAAGTGGGGTATAAATCAAAACTGTTAATAAATAAGGGTTGAAATTTCATATAGACTTCAGTTAAACAGCAGGATTTAGAATGTAGACTACAAAAGTTGACAAACTGAAGTTGCCAGACAGCAGGCAGGTACTCTAGCAAACTTTCTGATGTGGAGTCCTTTTATAAATCCACGTATTCAGTACATATCAGGCTGAATAAAACTGGTACAACATTGAAATCTTAAATCTTCTTTTTTTAAAAGATTTATAAACAACTTGAATGCAACCATAAACGTCACTATGGATGGTACCAATTTTGGAGAAGTGGTGTATTTCTCTGCCACCAATTATTCATCTTTCCAAAGAGGATCGTAAGTATTTCATTTTGCCTTGGTGCCCACATTTCTGTCTGCTGACATTACTTGTGCTTAGTTTTGGAAGGAGTGGGTGTCACTTTAGTGGGTAATAATGAGTGCAGGAGACAGAATAGTGGGACTTGTGGTGATATCTCCTACTAGTTTACTATATGATAAGAGAATTATTTCTGTAGTATGTGGGTTTGGAAGTTACAGAACTGGGAGGAGTGAATATTATTGTAGGGTGAGGATGCTGTTAAGCATTTTGGTTTCTGAAGCTTTGTTTTCCATCCCACATCTAATGGTCATCCCACACTACCTCGCAATTGTGCGTTGGTTGGTTTCCTGCAAGAAACTAACATTGTATAAAGTAAGTCCTTTGGGTGGAGGCAGCTGAGGGGGGGGGGGAAAGACTCCCACCTGTTGGTAGCTATAAATGCCACTGGAGGAGAGGAGTCATAAGACAGCTACAGGAGATGTTTTGGCATGCCTTTCCTCATCTTCGAGGTGTAGGTTAATGAGTGGACTGTTGCAGTAGGCTAGTGCTCTCGTTGGGGTACCATCCGCCTCACTCACCAAAGAATGCCCAGGCTGAGCCAATGGAGATGATCTCAGCCTTGGTGGAAGCCCTTAGGTTTATAAGTCCTGGGAGGTTTCAGTGACCATGCAGAGTTTCCTTTGTCCGGCCATGCTTGGAAGCCTATAGCATAAATACGGTGGCTGGGTGGGGCCAAGAATTAAACCACAGCAGTGAAGGCAGGAGAGGGGTATTGAATCTCTTCCCTCTCGTATACCATTGTTCCAATCTGCAACTCTTGTCGGCCACACAGAGTTAAAGAGCTGGATATAAGAAGTGGTATACTGTAAGCTCAAGAAGCCCTACAGCTAGGTAGAAGTATGGTAGGGTTGTTCAGGATTGTACTGTGTGAAACCAGTTGAAAGTTGGTTTATATTACTTGGGTGTTTGGAAAGCAAGAAAATATCTGCTGTACTGATCTGCTGATAGTGGCTAATGCTTTGTATTCTAAAAGAACATTATTGAACCTACCTAAACTTTGCTGGCCAGTATTTTAAAAAGAACAGTTGCTTTGAGTTTGGCCAGAGGAAGTTTCAGTCTTGTAACCAGAATGTTTCTGTGTGTCTTCTGGATAGTATTTTAGGATCTTGGGCAGTGTTCCCTCTAAGCTAAGTTAGTGTGAGCTAGCTCATAGTTTTTTAGCCTCCAGCTCACACATTTTTGTCTTAGCTCAGGAAGGATGGCTCCAGAGCAAAGTAATTTATGGAGTAGCCAAATCGCTCGCTCACAACTTTAATGCCAGTAGCTCACAAAGCAGAATTCTTGCTCACAAGACTCCACAGCTTAGAGGGAGCATTGATCTTGGGTATTGAACCTGATGATGCTTTTGGCCTAGTGTTGTTTGTGTATGAGCATGTGTATGTCTTTCCTCACAAGGGAATTGAGTCAGTGAACTTGACTCAGTTTCTATCATTTTTGGAAGTGGGACAATGTTGACTTTCATCACTAGTAACTTTGAAGTTTTATAATGTGCATATTGCACATCTTAAACTATATTTTCCTTCTTAAGATCAGGAAGCAGTCCAGTTGACTTCAAATACATAGGCAACATTAGCTTGTGGATAATGTCTATAATATTAACAGGCAATAGTAAGGCTTTCAATAACAGCTACAGGAATTAAAAAAAAACACCAATATGAATTAAAGTAGTTACTTAATTTTATTTCTTTCAGAAAACAGATTATAATTATCACTAACAATCAGAGTTGTGAAGAAAACTCTTTGCAATTTGGGTATGGTAGTGCTTATACCATTATAGTAGAAGAGGTAAGTTGTATTAAAAGATGGATTGATGCAGAATTGTATTGCATGTGTTTTTAAAATTAAAGCAACCTGTGAAGTTGATAGGGGTTTTAAACTAAAAAACTTGCATTATTATACATGGATTATATATAATTGATCTCTTAGTTTTATTGCAGCTTTTACTTAAAACTTGCTGCACTGCTATACAAGTAGTGTGCCAAATCCTGTGCTGGTTAAGATTAAGTGATTGAAGCAAAGGGCATTTGTCTTGGAGGCAGATGTGCCTTAGGACTGAAATGCCCATTTAGTTGTTTATGCAAGTGGCAGTAAATGTAATTAGCACATGTTAGATTTAAAATGTCTGACTCGCCATTTTATAATGTAAAGGCTTTCAGTTTTGAGCTAAGATGCATCCAGATGATTTGCTAACATACAATGGCCCCGTTCACACGGAGCATTTGCCATGCTAAAGATACGGATGATAGGTGGATTTTCCAGGCGCGATCACACCGCAACATCTGGGAAGCGTAGTGCTCCCGTGGCTAACCCGTGGCTTCCCGCCGAAGATGCGGAGTAAAAAACTAGAACTTATGATGTACTGGTTTCCGGAAAATGCGGAGCAAGGGCGGGCATCTGATTGCGTTTCCGCTGGAATCCTGCGGCATCCAGCGCCCACCCGTGTCCCCTCGCAAACTGGATTTTTTTTTAAGTCCCCACAGGATGCGCACAAACGATCGTGCACATGCGCAAACTTCGGTGAGACAAACAAAAAAATCCCGTTTGCCACAGAAGCGGCACGATTGCCGGTGTGAACGCGCCGTGCTGCTTCTTTGCCGCGCTGCAGACTAGCCGTCTGATTGGCACATAATGCCTAACCACGGGACCTCGACAGGACGTCTAATCGGGCTGCCGCGTGTTACAGCCACGCTCCCCCCCCCCCGCATTTTCCGGCCCGTGTGACCGGGGCCTTAGAATTCAAACGTTTTTGTACATGGGAGCTGCCTGTGTAAAATTCTCTCTCAATCCAAATCCATGTGTACAGTCTGTCTGTATGGGTCTCCCTTAACTTGAGTAGAGGGGCATTGTATTTACAGAGCTATTTGATTCTTCGAACTTAATAGGGATTCCTTGGTGGCTTGGGAGTATGCTTGTGCACACTAGCTATTCTGTGTCCATCAGAGATCGTTGAAACTGGGTGTATTGGGGGTCATTTTGTTGCTGTTCTGCATAAAGAGAGCTTAAAATGTTGCTTTCCGCTAGAGCTTGTTAGATATCTTGATGGCTATGTGTGTGACACTCAGGAAAAAACCTATTCTGTTGCCTGTTTAAGCATGCATTAATATGGAATTTGGTTTTAATTTCAGTGTAACAGCAATGGATCGAGGATCAAATACGTTGAAGATATTCAACCCAACACTTTCAGCATGGCTTGGCAAATCCCGCAGTACTTCATTCTTACTTGTGCTGAAGTTGTCTTCTCAGTCACTGGATTATCATTTTCATATGCACAGGTAGGTGACTTTACTTCAGAGGTTCTAGTGGTATTATTGAGGCGTTGAAAACAGAAAGGCATTTCCATAGAAAGACTGTCCATAAGCTTTGGACCTGGGCTTTCTGACATGTGTAGTAGATGATTCCTAAACCATGTGAATTTTCATGATGGTAGTTGTTTCGCAGTTCAGTACAAATTTCTTGCCATATTGAAAAGGGGTATGAGATTCTGCAAGTGTTGTGTTAACTTGAGGTTTTATTTCAGAATTGTAGTCTGTTTAAAAATAAAGCTTAATTGTTCATAAATTCTGAGCTTATAGTTAAGAATTTCCCAACCATTAGAAAGCCAGTTATAGATCAGCTAATACATCTGTCTTGAAATATGATATCGATATGCAAAACAACGCAATTAAATATATTGTTTCCACAGGCACCCAACAATATGAAGTCTGTGTTGCAGGCTGGCTGGCTGTTGACAGTGGCTGTTGGCAACATAATTGTTCTTATTATAGCTGGAGCTACAACAATTAGCGAACAGGTAAACTAAAGTCAGTGTTAATATAGAAAGCTTAATAAAAAGAAGTCTGTGTTAGAACACAAGCCGTATAATTGACGGTATTGCTGAACGCTAAGGTATAGTTAAGGACTGGCACAGATGCCAATAGATATTGTTTACCTTGACTTCCAGAAAGCTTTTGATAAAGTTCCTCATCAAAGGCTCCTAAGTAAGCTAAAAAATCATGGGATAAAAGGACAAGTCTCACCATTGACAAGTCCTTTTATGGATCAAAAACTGGCTAATTAATAGAAAACGGAGAGTGAGTATAAATGGGCAATTTTCTCAGTGGAGGGACGTAAGCAGTGGGGTACTGCAGGGATCAGTATTTGGTCCACTGCTTTTTAACTTGTTCATTAATGCTTTGGAGTTGGGAGTAAGCAGTGAAGTGGCTAAATTTGCGGATGATACGAAGTTGTTCAGGGTGGTGAAAACCAGTGAGGATTGTGAGGCACTCCAAAGGGATCTGTCAAGGATGGGCGAGTGGGCGTCAACATGGCAAATGGGGTTCAGTGTGGCCAAGTGCAAGGTGATGCACATTAGAGCCAAAAATCCTAACTATAAATACACATTGATGGGGTCTGAACTGGCAGAGACTGATCAAGAGAGCCATCTTGGAGTCGTAGTAGATAACTCACTGAAAATGTCGAGACAGTGTGTGACTGCAATAAAGAAGGCCAATGCTATGCTGGGGATTATTAGGAAGGGTATTGAAAACAGATCAGCCAATATCATAATACCACCATATAAATCAATGATGAGACCTCATTTGGAATACTGTGTGCACTTCTGGTCACCACACCTTAAAAAGGATATTATAGCTTTGGAAAAAGTGCAGAAAGGGGCAATCGAATGATAAAAGGGTTGGAACACTTTCCCTATGAGGAAAGGTTAAGGCGCTTAGGGCTCTTTAGCTTGGAGAAACGACGACTGAGGGGGGACATGATTGAGGTTTATAAGATTATGCATGGGAAAGAGCAGGTAGAGAAAGAGGTACTTTTCTCCCTTTCTCACAATACAAGAACTCGTGGGCACTCCATGAAATTGCTGAGCGGTCGGGTTAGAACGGATAAAAGGAAGTACTTCTTCACCCAAAGAGTGATTAACACATGGAATTCACTGCCACAGGAAGTGGTGGCAGCTACAAGCATGGACGGCTTCAAAAGGGAATTAGATAAGCATATGGAGCAGAGGTCCATCAGTGGCTATTAGCCACAAGGTATAGATAGGGACTCTGGGGCAAGTGATGCTCTGTCATCTTGGTGCTTGGGGGGGGGGTCAACAGTGGGAGGGCTTCTAATGTCCTGGCCCCACTGGTGGACCTCCTGATGGCACTGGTATTTCTGGCCACTGTGTGATACAGAGTGTTAGACTGGATGGGCCTTTGGCCTGATCCAACATTGGTATGTCTTATGTTTTTATGTTCTTATGAGTATTATGTGACTTACTTATAGCAAACTTTTAGCTTTATTAGAAAGCTGAAGTTGTAAGGCAGTCATTATGACTGGCAAGAAACAAGCTGTGATGTTCCTAAGTTTTTTGGTCGGGGGGGGGGAGAGTCCTTACCTCTTTTCTTGCTTTTCGGTAAACTGGATTAGATTAGAATAAAATTAGAGTCCATTGACTTCATTTTGAGTCAGAAGAGTTTAACTCTGCTTAGGATTGCACTCCGAATCCGTCTTCCACTTGAAGATTCTTGACAAAACATTATTTATAAGAAATATGTGCAAAATTTGATGCATGGCAGAACCAGCTATAAGGTACAGCTGTGGGCAAATTTGGGCTTGTACTAGACAAAAAATATTCGGCAAATACATACATTTTTGCCCACTGAAATAAAGATGAATATTATTTATATAAGTTAACGTTTTACATTCCAGACCCCTAATTTTCCTTGGTGGGAGTTCAAGATTGCTGCCTTCGTTCTTATCAATAGGAACACTTTTTTTAAATGCTGGGTCAGTTTCTGTGAACACATTAGAGACCCAATGATCAGACATAAAATTTTTGAGTGCATGGTATGCCACTCTAAGTATTATAGTAAATTGCATCTAGACCAATGTACTGTATGATTGATCTTACATACATTATTTGGCCCATGGTGGGATTATCAGACAGTGGGTTGGATTCAGATGGCTTTCTTAAGCTCACTGACCTCTCACCATACTACAGCCCCCATGATTTTTGTCCCATGATTCCTAGAATAACCTTTTTGGGTGATCAAAAGAAACTTCTCCGCCTACTTTCACCAGCAGAACTGTGGGTTGGAACCAACCTAGCTGATCCATTATCATCCCAATTTTTGGAGGAAAATAACCAGAAAGCTCCTACTATTAACATTTGGCACTAATGCTTTGCCCAAAACCATATGGACATGTAGTGGTTACAGTGTCAAAATAGGATCCAGGATACCCAGGCTTGAATGTTCACTGTGCCATAGAAACTTGCATGGTGACCTCAGGCCAGGCACACACGTTCAGTCTGACATTGGTCTCACAACAACCCTGTGAGGAATGTGTAAGCTGCTTTGGGCCCCCATTGGAGATAAAGACGAAGTATAAATTAAGTGAATAAACAAATTACTATCTGACAATTTAACTGTAAGGAGGAAATTTTGACAACTTGCATTATATAACTTCAGTATAGTTTATGATAGTTAATATGGAACCCCGAGACTCTTGTAAAGCAGAGTTTTGTAGCTGCTTTTGTTAGATTTATCAGTGAAAAGCTCGAACAAGCGTGGAGAGTTTCTGTTAAACGTGTAAGAGATTAAAGAAGTCTAAAGGTCTTCATTGTACTAGAAAGAATTCTACTAAATTGCCCCAACTTCTGATCTAATGCTATCATACCCCTCCCACACCACACACAAGGTTTTTCCTCAGCCACACCCATGGACTATGTGAGTGCAAACTGGCACATGCAGAAAGTTGCCCATACAGTTTGGGTTCTCATGACAGCCCAACCCAGTGTAGCGATGCCTGGAATAAGTTTAAAAGTCATATGATTTGTATTTACTCTTTCAGCTAACCCAAATATTTTTTCCTTTAGTAATAAAGTAGCATACTGTGTTAAGAAAAACTCCTAAAATCATTTTTTCCCTGTTTTAATTCACAGTGGGCAGAATATATTCTGTTTGCAGGTTTGCTTCTTGCAGTGACCATTATTTTTGCCATCATGGCCTATTTTTACACCTATGTGGACCCAGCTGAGATTGAAGCTCAGCTTATAGAGGAAGAAAAACAGGAGAAGGAAAAGAAGGAACCTGTTTATGGAAATGGAACTGGACCAGTCGTACAGACTCAAATGTGAACCAGGTGAACTCAGGTGTGGACCATTTTGATACTAATGCTTCCTGAAGCTCAGCTGTCTTGTTCATACATACCCCTGACTATCCTAGATGTACAAAAATCTAAATTCAGGTCTGAACAAGAATGTAAACTGCCATCTGGTCAGCTGCATTCCCACGCCGAGATCCAGAAGCATTACACTCGTGTCACTGGGCATCACTAGACAGAGATGGATAAAAGGTACAGCCAAAAAGCACATACTCTTTGGAGGATTAAGAGCAGGAAATCTGCTCTTGGTGATGAAAATGAGAAAAGCCCATAACCACATTCTCAGCAGAATTTGTACTTCTTTAAAGAAAAAAGTATCGGAATCCAGCTGCACTTGGCTGTGTTGAAATGGCATGGAAAGTATTATTTTTATACAGTGCACCTTTTAATTTTATATTGTAGAAAGGCAAGTATTCCCAGATCAAGGTATCCCCCCCCATGCAATATGCAGGCCCAAGGGGGCTTTTTTATGCTGCCATACAAATAATGAATGCATAATAAATGTATTTCCCCCCCCTGAAAATATATATATCGGAACCTGCTGAATGTTAACACCCTGGTATAATACTACAGAAATCTTTCTCCAGCTTCTGCATAAGAGCTCTGCTCTCAGTTAGTTATTGTGGTGGAGAACAAAGAGGATTTGCATTGTGAAGCAAAGGCGAGTGAAATAAAACTTGAATTGTAACAGTTCTGTTTTGACTTTGTTTTTGGAAAGAGAGAACAAATCTGGCTTTTCATTTCATATCCACCAGGGTGAGGGTGGACCATTTTGATACTAATGCTTCCTGAAGCTGAGCTGTCTTGATCATATGTACCCCTGACTATCCTAGATACACAAAATCTAAAGCCAGGAGTTAGCAGTTTTACATGGCTCTGTGGTCCTATCAAAGTGTATATCAAGGTGGTTTGCCTATAGTTTCACATACAACAAAATGATTTTTTAATCTTCCAAGAGGATATTCCAAACTTCAGAGTGCTAGAAAAAAATTGTGATCAATTCCCTGTTAAGGGGTCTAAGGCCAGCAATGCCAATGAGAAAGAGCAGAGTGGGATGAAATATGTATTTTGATAAAGAAAAATGCTACAACCTTGTTCATATCTAAGTTGACAAAATACTCGCAAACATAATCCATTTGTAACAGTAGGACATACTAAAGCGACCCCTTCAGAGGAAGTCTGTCATAGGACTCCACGCCTTTCTATTAGAATCAGTTGTACATGTTTGAATTAAAATTATTTCGATTGTTGTCATGTCTTATTCCTATTCGTTTATGGTCTGGTATGGTACCTGCACATTCTACAGGGGCAAGAAGATAACGCTGTTACGATCTGTGGACTCACTCCCCAGAGAACTGTCTATAGTGTTTCTCTAATGAATAAAACCAACCACAGATATAATCCAATAAATCTTTACTCTGCTTCCTGTACATCTCAACTTTCCATCCTGCTTTCCTTTCAGATTATTCCTGTCAACCATGTACTTATCATTAGGGAAGTTATTTGAACCTTTGCTGGTAATTCCCAAGCACTTACCTATTGGGCCACTTCTCCCCACATTCTCTAGAACCCAGTGGTGGGGGGATTTCATTCAGAAATTTATCTCTCCTCCGTTATACTGTAATCTATTACATGAAAAGATTCCTCACATTAACTTAAGGTAAAAGGTAAAGGTTCCCTTGCTCGACAGCCAGTCGAATCCAACTCTACGGTTGCGGTGCTCATCTCCATTTCAAAGCCGAAGAGCCAGCGCTGTCCGAAGACGTTCCCGTGGTCATGTGGCCGGCATGACTAAACACTAAGGTGCACGGAACGCTGTTACCTTCCCACCGAAGTGGTACCTATTTATCTACTTGCAATTTCTTGCTTTCGAACTGCTAGGTTGGCAGGAGCTGGGGCTAGAGATGGGAGCTCACTCCATCATGCGGCACCCTGGGTCTCGAACTGCTGAACTACCGACCTTCCACAGCCTGCAGTTCAGCGTCTTAACCACTTGAGCCACTTATGCTCATTTCTTTATGAGGCTACATGTCTTCACAGTCCTTGGACAGTCCCCAAATGGTTGGTCACTATGTGCAGTCAGAATTTCATCACTAATCAAGCTCTAACATGAATCATGCTACTCTGAATTATTTTGGGAGCAGTAAGAAATCTACTAAGCCATTACTCTATTGTTTCCTGAGAAGGCTAGTCTACACAGCATAAATACTACAACCTGGTCACAACCTCCCACATGAAAGCAGTGGAGTAAGCTCCCCCCCCCATCTCTTTTGCAACCTTTTGGTCTTCATCAGCTAGTAACTGGGGAGAGGTTCCAGGCTATGGGTGTAATAGAGTTACTGGTTATTCCAAGAAAGGCATGCAATTATGACAAAGTGAAGATCTGCTAACAACTTTTTTTCCCTTGCAATGTATGCAAACCCAGGGATTGCTAGATGGGTCAGATCATTTTAATTATCCTATAATGAGAAACAGGACAGACAAGTGGGAACCCACAAGACACTTGTGGGGCAGCTATCCCATTTCCCCCACCTTTGCTTTCTCCCCTCCTACCTCTCTTATACTTTCTCCCTCCTGCCACCTCTTTTCTTATTCTCCTCTACGTCTGTCACTGTCTCTCTCATTCTGCCCCCCACCCCATCACTTTCCCAGCCTCCCACTTTCCTCCTCCCCTCACATCAGCGGCGGCAGCTCTCCAGGAATCACAATGGATCTACCAGTTACAGAGATCAGTTCCTTAGGACTGCCAGCTTCAGGTTGGGAACTTACTGGATAATTGAGGGTGGAGCCTTGGGACAGTGAGGTCTGAGGGAAGGAAGCAACCTAAGCAGGGCATAATGCCATAGACTCCACCCTCCAAAGCAGCCATTTTCTCCAGGGGTACTGATTTCTGACATCAGGAGAACAGATGTAATTCTGGGTGATACCCAGCCCTCATCTGGAGGTTTTGGATAGAACAAAACCATGTAAAACAATAGTCTTAAACCATATTCAAATAAATTTAAACATTTATATAGGAAATTTCACCGTGGGATACCAAAAATTTCTTGGAATATTCCATATCACACGGTGAAATTTCCTATATAAACTTTTGAATTTATTTGAATATTGTTTAAGACAATCGTTTTACACAGTTTTGTTCTGTTCAATACCTCCTTACTGTGTAATTCATCTGGAGATTGGCAGTGGTTGTTCCTGTGGAGGAAATAGCTGCTTTGGAGGGTAGTGTCTCTGGCATTATAGCTGTCTGATGCTCCTCCTCTCCACAAACCCTGCCCTCCCCAGGCTCCACCCCTCCAATTTCCAGGAATTTCCCCCCCTGGTGTTGGCAACCCTATCTCCTTTCCGTCTAACAGCCAACCTACCTTTATCTGCCCCCCCCCCCAGCATTCCTTTATGGAAACCAAGACTTCTCCTCCCCACTCCCAGGCAGCCTCTACCTATGAAAACTAGTCTTTCTTCACAGGAGAACAAAGCAGCTTACATGATTTTTTCCTCCTTTTATCTGCACAACAAACCTGTGAGGTGGGTTAGGCTGAAAGTAAGTGACTGGTCCAAAATCACCCAGTCAGCTTCCAAAAAGAGGGATCTGAATCTGAGTTTTGCAAATCCTACTCTGAAGCTCTAAACCAGGGGTGTCAAACATGCGGCCTAGGGGCCAGATCAGGCCCCCAGAGGGCTTCTATCAGGCCCGCAGTGGAACTGGCTGCCTTCTGCTTCTTCTTCCAGTTCTGCTGCTGCTGTGTCATCGTAGGTTTGCAGCTTACAGATACACACCTGAACAGCATACTCAAGATTGCAACAGCACAGACATTTTGATGCAATAATTCAGAGCAAGAGGGGTCAGTACGGCTGCCAAATGCCCCCGGGGGGCGGAATTCCCCCCGCTTTCGAGCCCCGATTTCCGCTCCCGCGGAATCGGGGCCCGGGGGAAACCCCACCCTTGCGTGCGCGTCACCCGGAAGTGACGTCACACGCTGGGGTCGGGGCCACGCCATTTGAGGGGAAAACTTTGTTTTCCCCTCAAATG